AGAAAAACAGATATTTCAGATAGTCAACACGTAACATCACAGTGTAACCTTCTCTGATCTGAACAGTTAGGTCTAAGAAGGAACCCCTGCATCCTAGCAGTCTGGGGAAGAATTTTCTCCGTTCTTCATTTTCTTATTACATGGTGGGCTCCTCCAGCATAGGAGGTTCAGTCAGCTAGCAAAAAGCTGCTCTGGAGAACACAAACTGGTAACACGTAACAGGCTACAACATCCTCCATGTCCTGCAAATTTTGTTTATATAGTTGAGTTCTGCCCACCCCTTGGTGGTCTCTGACATTCGCTGTCTTTTCCTGCAGTACAACAAAGCCTTTGTCCTGTACAAGCTAAAGAAAAAAACCACCAAATCCCAACCCGTCAGCTGGAACATCAAATTTATGAGATCTTTTATGGGCACAGACAACCACCTGCTAGACAAAAGACAATACCTGTGGGTTCTAAGCTGGTCTTGACAGAAAACACAGGTCTTCATTTTAAAATATTATAACAGAATGAAAAGGCACAAATCTTTGTTTCTGACAAACATGTATTAGTGCCCGCTAGAGACAGGTGCTTTACAGTTCTTGAGTAACACCTATTTAGAAAGTTTTATGGCGCACAGCACATCTCAAATACCTTCACCGATGAAGTGAGAGTTATACCCAGGAACAGAAGACAAAAGACATTCTTATTGCTAGAGAACATAGCACATTTCAAACTCAGTACGCTGATTAATGGGTGGGGAAGAAAAGCGGAAGAAGTCAGTATGTACATGAACACAACATTTAAAAAAAACCCCAAGTCAACACAAGGGAATCTTGCTCCGTAACTGCATACACAGATTTCACATTTATGGCTAGCAAGCAACTCTCCTGGTTCTGAGAAGAGTTAGCAGACTTACCTGTGGAGTTGTTACATAACTGTTCTCCAAATTTCAGGCTTGCCTGGAAGCTAACACCATGAAGTAAGAGACAAACTTGGTGGACTGTTGCTTCTCTACATATGCCCAGTAGGGGAAAGATCAAACAGAACACCTGCCAGCATTGCACATCAAGCAAGATGAGCCTAAATCTCAAAAGACAAAGAGGAGGCCTGGGCAGGTCACCCCACTTCTGCCTTAACTTGGTTTATACTTCCTGCCAGCCTGCAGGAAGCATGTGCAACAAAAGCTTTTGTCACTGAAGGCAACGAGAAGGCTGTCTGTTGAAAACCTAGGCTGCATCCACTCAGCCAAGCAGCAGAAAGTTTCTTTAGTAAGTAACTGTTATGTCATTTTGCCAAATGCACAGACATGCTTGCACTGTGTCAGATGAAGTCATGCTTCAGGATGCATGCTCTTACACGTGACTTCATCACAACTCACCTTGCCTCAGAGCACCTGGAGGGCCCTAGCACTGGCTGAAAATGCTAAGAAAATCATGCTCCTGCTGACTTGCTTTTGTCATTGCCAGAAGTGATTCAAACTGGAGGTCACTGAAGAGGTTTTTTTTAACCCTATCAGCTCCAAACAGGTTTGGAAGGAAAAACAAGAATGTACACGTCCTCATCACACAGTCAAGCATCTTCCTGAATTCTTTGCCTTAAGCGTATGCTACATCTAGACCTCTGGAGAATACCATGAAGCTGAGCATCGGCAGAAAGCACGCCCAGGTAACATGTCACCCTTTTCAAGGAAGATGGGCCCTATGGGCACGCTAAGCACAGGAGAGAATAAAAATATCTTGCTCACTCCAGGACGGACCACTGTTTTAAGCATTGGTGTTGGGACAGCAAAGATTGAAATCTGAAAGTTATCTCTGGCAGGTTCTCGAGTTATGGCATCATTCTCGCACAAGAATTCTCCATGCAGTAGCAAAGAAACGGATCTTCACAGACCAGCATTTTAACAATACAGGCAACAAATGTGACCCTAGCGACACAACAGAGCTCAGAGACTTAAGCTAGTTAAGTATCCCCAGAGGTAGAACTGCTGTTCTTCATGCACAAAGAACTTGTACTGCCTGCTGGGGAAATGGTGAATGAACTTCCCCCAGCAATAAAATCATCTCTGACACAGACTGATGTGAGAAAAGGATTGACACAAAACTGATTGTTTAAAAATCACTCAAGGGAAGGGTCAGTCACATGGAAATCGGAGATGAAAATCAAAAGAAGATTAAAAGCAGGCTTGGAGAAGAAATAAGCAAGGTGCATTGCAGATAAAGCTGAACATCCTTGTAAGCAACAGAGGAAGATGACACAGCTAAAAGTAAATCTTGCCATAAAGCCACAAGAAGAATCTTAACAATTTAAAAGGCACCAAAAAGACAGCAGCACAGTCAAAAGAGCTACTCCTCTTCTTGACTCCAGGTCAGTGAAGTTGCTGAGAAGCACTGTCAGGAACACATCACATTCCACCTTGATAGGACAAACTATGCCATGGGTGTACCCTGCAGAGGCCAAAGAACTTCCAGCTAGACTGTGGATATTTGTACTGTAAGCAGTGTGGACGTACCCATGACCCAGTGCTTGAATAGAAGCATTCATAACTATCACTCAGGTTTCCTTCACGTCTTCACTTACAAAGAGAGGAAGAACATTCAGGGTACAACAGAACTGAAACAGACAGAGCTAAGGTGTTCCTCTCCTGAGCACACCTGCACACAGCTGAAGAACTGCCCACAGTACTGACACAGAAAAACCTCAGTTACAGATTAGGCAAACTCCAGTAGCAGCAACTGAAAAGCATCCTTTACAGGATAAGGAACAAAGTTCAGAGTGATTAACTTAAATCAGTAGTTACAAACTGAGTTGGGACTACTGGCTCTTTTCACTGGAAACTTTATGTCTACTACAAGTGGCATCCTCTGGTGCAGAAGAAAAGCTGCATCAAGCTTCAATCTCATATCCAAGAGATGTATCATCTAGCGAGCTATACCTGTGACTGTTTGTGCTGGATGGAAATCTGTTTTTGGGAAGTGCAGGAAGGCTCAGTGTTCCCTGATCCGGTAGAAGATGGGCTGCCTTGCTGGGCCTGCAAAAGAAAGTTAGTGTATTGTTATATGCTCCTCAGCACGATCACTAGTGCCCATGCAGATACACTTATCTTTACACGGGAGGTGCGGCCTGGCCTGGGTACCATACTTTCATGTTAAGGATTAAGAATGCTCTAAAGATTTAGTTCATTAAAACAAGAGAGTCAGTTTCTTTCAAGAAGCCTGGCCCAACCTGCTAACAGACAAAGCTTTTAAAAGCCTAGTATAATTCATGTCAGCTGAGATTAAGCGAGGCCAAAACAAACACTTCTCACAGCAAGACTACACTTCATTCTTTTGCTTTTTTGCATCTATTAGATTAGCCTCTCAGATGCTATTATTTTGATCTACGTAAGATTTTGAGTCATTAACTTAAAACTCACATCATTTTTATTAAACAAGTAAAGCCTGGGACCTAGAACTCTTCACAAGGAAGATGAACTTACCAGAAGATGGTAGACTTGGTCATCAATAAACCAGGCTGCACTTGAACCACTGTCTTTGAGCAGAAAAGCTTCAAATTCCCCATCCCTTAACTAGAAACATCCCTTGGGATTCAAATCTTTTCAGAGCTGCTCACCGAGACAAAAGTAAAACAGAGGCCACCTCCCCTCTGTGCCAGCTGCTCATTCTCTAGCCGCTGTTTCGCCAGCATCACCGACATCAGCGTTGGCAGAGCAGAGTGTTCCTCCTGCGGTTCCTTTGCTGTGCTGCCGTCTACCCCATACAGCGGCTGCTCCACTCGCCGCTGTAACACAGTCAAAAAAAATACAATGAGCTTTTTTTTTTTAAAAAAAAACAGTGATTCTCTGACTCTGCCAAAACTGTTGTCAGCGAAGCAGCAGCTCAGGAATGGGCAGGCAGCATGTTGAGAATCTGATAACTCAAACAGGACTCCTGGAGTGATTGTTCCAATGGCAGACATCAAAAAGTAGATGAAGTTAACAATTAGGAAAAAAAAAGTAACAAATGAACACACAGGACAGAATTGTCAGTTAACACACGCCCTTCCTTTGCAAATACATGTGTTTCAGAGCCAGTGGGGCAAAAGAGGCTGTAGATGCAAAAATCTTAGCGCATTGAGACTTTGGTCAATGCATTCAAAATTATACTACTTGATGTTTTTTAAGGACTCATTTTAAAACAGCCAATATCACAATGCATTCGTTATTCTGGTGAAGTAAACTGAGTCAGAACTGCTAAATGTGAGCAACCTAACCATGTCTAGGACCCAGACTTCACGGTAACCTCATTTCTGTCATTATAGCTGGGACCAACCTCCTGCAAGATAAGCAAAGTACTAATGTGTTTCCAAAATCTTTAAGAGACACATTGCATCTCTTAAAGGCCAGCTCCTTTCTCCTACAGCAGACTCATTTTCCAACTGCGATACAGGAATTTGGTTCAATGAGAATAAGAATCATCTGAGCTACATTGATTACAGCACTCAGAATCTCATTGCCCTCGCTTTAAAAGCCAGCCCATCACTGCTAAAACTTGGCAGCCTGGGTAATAATCATCTAAGTCCTTCCAAGCTGTAACTCCGGGCCAGGCATATGCCACATAGAAAGTAAACAGTCAGGTCAGGCTTCAGTTTTTCTTAAAAACCTAAATTGCAACCTGAAGCATATTTTCTGGCTAACATTACAAATGTCAAGAGTGTGCTTTCTTCCCCAAAAGTATGCTTGTATATGAGAGCGATCTTGCAAGAGTCTGAAGACCTGCAGATCATTCTTCTGATCCAAGGAGAAGCAAGGCAATTCAAAGCAGTCAAGAGATTTGAAGACAAGAAGTAACATCCTGAAGCCATTACAATTCCTCCGCAAGTTCTGATTGCAGAAAATTTCCAGTACAGTATAGATTAACTCACAGGTTTGGAGGAGGTTTGTCTCATTGCGAAAGACATTTTAACACTCTGCTCTCTTCCTAGACCATACTGACATCTGTAATGGGTAAGATACTCCATCTTCTCCAATTTTCACTCATCCCCCCATTTTTTTGGGCTTAGCTCAAGCCATTGATATTCAGTTTGTAAGAAGAGGACAGATCTTGCCAATGCACATAATAGTTTGTTACGAATAAGCAAACATTACAGGTTTAGCTGCAAGAGTAAAGAACAGAAGATAAGAAACACAAAGAGCACCTGCGTAAGGAGAGACACAAACTGGCCTAGCTGAAACTAACTGCAACATCGGTCTTCACCACATGAGAAATACTCTGTTCAAACTTTTACCTACTCAATACATACAAGCATAGAAGAAAACCAAAGGAAGAATCAGCTTGTCCCATTATAAACACCTGCAGGGTATCTCATCTGCTGGAATGAAGAACTGTCCCTAAAACATCACACATCTGCAACATTCAGAGATGGTATTTCTTTCATTAACTTCTCTTTAAAAAGGTGTATTAGTGAATTAATATGACAGGAGGAAGGGCTATTCAATTAACCAGATATATTTTAATTTTTGTAAATATTAAAAATATCTAGAAGCATATCTGACGTTCTCCCTTAAAGCAGCATTAAAAGCTTTGAACATCTAGCAACATATATTGAATTCTGAACAGAGAATTCAGTGTTGGGATTTACTTCAGTACACATTCATGAACTGTGCAAAGGTCTCTGCAGAATAATGTAATCAGTAAAGACTTTGCATTTGGTTTTCAGAATACTAACCTTTCCCATAATGCTCCATATTTTTGTGACATTCAACAAATGCTGAAAATTTTTAAAGAGGGGCCCAGGCAATGTTCAAAACTAGAGATCAGACACCAGAGCCTCCGAATATTGCTTTGCTAGTTGAAAGAAATTTCTTTAGCTGCTCTGTGCTAAAATGGCTTAAAAATACTGGTTATTTCTTCACATTCAGATCTTGCAGAAATGCTGTGACAGCAAAAAGGAATTATGTAACCAAAAAATAGCAACAGATGTGCATGTATACACATTTCTTTGCAAGCTTTTGCTAATGCTCCTTACAAGTCACATGCACATAAACAGAAGTAAAAGACCTTCCCAGTATAATTATGGTATGCAGGTTTTTCAGTATACCCAAAGGGTCCAATCAAGATCGGAATATCATTGTATTAGTGCTATACAAACATAAAACATACTCCCAACTCGATGGAGAAGTTCAGGAGCTACAATGGAATACAAGATAACTAGTATGTCAGTTCCACCTTTTATTAAGGACAGTGATCTATCTGTAACCACACAGCGCGCTAAAAACTTGCATGCTTTAAGCTCAGATATTCATATCAGTTACAACTGGACTAGCCACTGTTACAGGGTTCTAGACATCTGGCTTTGCTGCCAGAACCCGGTTTCAGGATAAAAAAAAAAAAAAACCTGAATAGAGAATAAGCCAAATCACCCACCAAGAGACCCTTCTTTCCTGTTCAGAACCTTTTATTACCTGTCTGAAGCACGGCCACCAACCTAATCAATGCCATGCCACCAGCTCTGTTCCCAGGGAGAACACATACCGGCAAGGGGTTGGATAAGGAATGCTGCGGTGATGATCTGGCGACAGGCGGAACACTTCTACCGGGACTGGTTCCTGGGCCACTTCCCCCAGCAAACTGGCCAAAGCAACAGATTTGATCATCAGTAATTCTACAGAGATACTATATATAAGCAAATTTAACAGAGACAGAAGGAACACATTCGTCTTAAAAATGAAGCCTTATAGGCTCTAGGGACTCATTTAAACAAACTGAAAATAAGCTAAGAGGAAAACCTTAAAATTTCATGCACTGTTTTCAAAAATAACAGCAAAAGTAAGTACTTCAGACAAACATTCACATTTGCACTGAGTACATTCTTCTTTTTAACACAAAAAGATATAAACCTACACACTTGGATATGGATCAATTATTTACTGTATAGAATTAGGAAGCCCATTCCCTGTGAGGAGACGTGTCTAACCGTGCTTCACAGAAGTGTAAGAAATGTACATCTTCACTGAAGCATCTGTGCAGTCACTGTTAAAGACAAGATATGCAAGCAGCTGGGCAACTGGTCTGGTTGGTACAGAAATTCATATGTTCCTGCACCACATGGTATACCACACTTACAAAAAGCTTCAGCCAGGAAAGAAGCAAGCACTAATAAGCACTTAATTTCTGACTCCAAGTTACTCAGTAAAATAAAGAACAAACTTAAGAGAAAAGCTAGAGCTCTGGATTGTGCAGACCTAGAAAAACTTCAGAAACTACACAATAAAAAAAGAATATTGATTTTTAGAATGTCCATCACTGTTTTGGGGAGGGGTCTCCGTCTCCCATGTGGTGCCAGCCTCCTATGGCAAGCTTTTCTAAAGAGGGAACCCTGTAAACAACTTCCTACTCAAATCAGTGGGACTTTGCAGGTAGGTTCTTTTGCAGCACCACACCTGTATCAAAATATTGGCTTGCATACTCAGAGATATCCTCATCTGAGATCCAGGTTCCAGTGGAAATCAACCTTGAACCTATACTTACGTGGCTGCTCTTTTAAAAAAAAAAAAAGCAAGTTTTCTTTTGAAACTGTTCAAAGAAATGTTAATTTAAAAACCAACTTCCAAAAATCTCATATCCTCTACCTAACCAGATTTGAGCATATCAGGTTAACATCGTCAATCAGTGACTCCAATGATGGATCAGTAACAGAAGTCACGTTACAGAGTTCCATCTACAGATCTTGCATATCGTGAATTCAAGCAGATTTCTCAGACAATGTAGATGCTTACCTCAAAATAATCACTAATTTTATGTCCTCTAGGAGTGCCTTTTCCTAAAAAGGAAAACAAAGGACGAAAATAAGAGTTGATATTTTTTAGAACAGAAGTTACGATGCCATTCTAAAAAACTACTCCTATATTCTGACACTCCTTTCCCTGTAGAAAGGTGCAACACCTATCACAACAAAAGCTTCTGCACAACAAAAGACTGCCCCAGGGTTACAGCTCTTGTGCTGTTGTTGGGAGGGTTTACAGTTGACAATTCAATTAACTCTTAATTCCAAACATGTCAAATCCAATCAAACAGCATTTCCACTTGCTAAAGTACTTAGAAAACACTAAACGTCATTGAATGCTGCATAGGTTCTCCAAAATTTCCTTCAAGATAAGGACAGAGCAAAGGGTACTTTTACTCCTCCACCTTCAGGTAAATTACTGCGTATTAGATCTCTCACAAGCATTCCTATAAGAGTTAGCAAGATAATTAGTGGTGGCTTAATACCAGCTCATTAAAACTTAGCCCTTTTCTCTTATTATAATATTATCAAAGCAGTTCTGTCAACACAATCCTCGTTACTTTCTTGTTGAAGAATAAAAGAAATAGAAATCTGCTCCTAGGCCCATTTGCTAGAAAATCTGAGCTTGGACTTGAACACACTGCGTTTTTCTTAGTACTCTGAGACAGCACTGCCTGCTTTATACTTGAGCACAGTTTGTTCTCTATTTGTTGTGGTGAGAACTTACTCTAACAAGGCAGGCATACGTCTCAAAAAGCAAGGAAGAGAGTACAGCCTGTATTTTGAAGTCTGGCTGCTGTATATGTAGTGACACGGGACCAAAACAACACTTCAGAGAAGCCATATTAAGCCTTTGGGCAGTCTGTCCCATAAAAATGCAATAGTTTGTGCGAATAAGCTGAAGACGAGTATTTTCCTGCCAATGAGGATAACAAGGCTCCCAGAAGAGAACTACACCATCATGGAGTAGTTTATAACAAGCTGCCTGACACACCCTTGAGAAGAGCCATTAGTTTCCTAGGACACTGACTGCAAAACGTGCACAAATTACCAACCGTTCAGAAATCCTGCAGCAGGGTCAGGAGAATGAATTACCTTGACTGGTCTCGTATGCTTCTGCTTTCCTTTTTCTATTCCGCTGGTCATTCTGTTTTTTCTCAGGAGTCTGTTAAACAATACTTCAAAATTAACATTTCTGCAGTTATTCCAAGATCTAAAGAAAATACCAAAACACAATAATCTGCTCCATATCCCCAGTGGCCATTTCACTTCTCTGGTACATTTGTTTCTACTGCTGGTACTTAAAGAAATAACTGCTCTCAGATAGCTACTACTTTCTGATATATGTGCTGCAGAAGGGAGAGAACACGGTTAGGAATGAGGTTAATTTTTTTTTTTTATTGCACCTGCAGCAAGCCAGCCTCTACTGCCCAGTTACCTCACATGGTTAGCAGAACAAGTTCAAACACTTATAAAAACCTGTATAAACCATTTCACGGTGATCACAGTACTGGTACAAAAGGAGTAATGACAAGAGGTTTGAGTACAGACATCCAAATTTGCAGTCCAGAGGCTACTTAGTCTACCAGGACAATTCATCTTGCCTGCAGCTAATGCTTCTTCTCAAAGCTCTTTGCAGATGGCTACAAGAACTATCCTGTCTACTGGTGCACAACCGCAACCTTACACAAAACAACACAGAGCTCTCCAGGATGGCAGCTGGGAGAAAGCTGCCACAGATGCAGCAAGTCATCTGGACTTATTTCTCATTAAAGTCAAGGGTCGGTTGCATCTGCCATTTCTGTGAGCAACCAGAGACCTGAGGGGCAGCTTATCAGTGGACAGCAATATATTTATGCACAGGCACAATACAGAGCACAGGTGGGAGGCTTGAAGGCTCCAAAAGTGTCATGCCTATCTGTCTGTACAAAGCTAGCAAGCCTAGACATTGAAGAGTGGAGGAGACCCTGGCATGGTTTCCACATCACCAGAGTCACTTATGTGGCCAAATCTGCTGAAAACATTAGGACGCACTGCGCTGGAAGCAGCTTACTGAGGTTGCTGGAAAGAAAGATATCTTGTCATTTCCATCACCAATGTCATTTTAAAAACATCTCTTATCCCAAAGGGTCCCAAATAATTTCTGAGCTCTGTGCTTTACAATCACTGCAGCCACTAAACTATAGCCTGGGGGCAGGAAGAAGACTACAGCATGCAAAACACTACTCTGGGGGAGGGAAAGCCATGGCCAGAAAGTTTGTGGTAAACCTAAGTTTCATGCTCTTTGGAAACCAAAGTCCAAAGTACCCTGTTTAAAGATCTCTGCCAAAAGACTTGCACACAGTAGAAATCAATCTACCTCCTTTAATAGGATAAAAAGGATAAAGCTGACACAGCCAGAATCTAAACCTGGCTGTGTCCCCAGTGGATGCTGGGCATCTACAGTCCCATGTTACCAGCTGGGCAGTCACCGACATGTTATTGTTTTGGTAAGAGGACAGAAGGGATGTTAAGACAAAGGTGGCTATTGCGTCCGCAAAGTATGTTTTAGAATGGGGGGACTGAAAACTCCGTAACTATCTAGAGACTTGCTGTACCAGCTCCTGTATGTGTAAAAGTCAATGACTTAGCCTCCTCACTGCGTAGTGAAGAGCAACTCATGAACAGCGTCGGCGTGACTGTAACACCACAGGCTCCCTTACAGCCTCTATGGAACTGTAAGCATATTAATGAGATTCAGTTTAAGTTGTTTTTCCATTCAAGTACTTACATAACAAAAATTACACACATTATCTGTTACAGACTGAAAAAGCAAGGAATGGTAGATTTGATTATGTCAGCTTGGTCAATTTAAATCACTCCACAGAATTTCATAAAAAAACCCAAGTAAAATAAGAATGAATACTCAGTTTTCCACTATTAACTCTATTTACTTGTATGAAGTTTAAGATACTGCGTTCTCAAAAGACTTAGCTTCACCAGACACCTCATATCAGCACTGCCATATAACAGAGGGAAATATGATCGAAAACTTACCTGATAACCGTGTGAAAAGTTCTTTAAATGCATAAGAAAATGCATTTAAATTTGAGGTTTTGCTTTATTAACATGGAATTTTAAAGTAAAAATGTAACTCTACAATTAATTTTGCTGCTTTAGCAAGTGTTTTGAAATAGTTAATCCTAAAGCAGTGAGATTAAACAGGGACAAAGCATCAATTTTCACCTCCCCACACTTCCACAGAGCAATTCATAAAAATGCTCTGCTTTGTACAGACTTCTGCAAATTCACATATTTGATAGGTACGGCAAACTTTTCCATTCATGCTCTCTGACTTTTTATTTAGCCAAAACTGTATCCAAAACCAGCAAACAAATCACAATGCAGCTGAAAACAATGTCATAAGCTCAGCTTTATGAATGCCGTGTTTTTGGGGTTGGGTAAAATCTGCCTGCTACGGTGGGAAGCTTCAAGGAGGACTGTTTTTCACAGCATGGTCCAAAGACTGCAGGGTTAAGATCCAGACTAATTACTTCCACTAGTCTCTTTCACACCCCAAACAAAGAACACTGTCACTCACTCTCACACAATTCCTTCTGTGTTTTGAGTTCAGTCATGTCCACCTTAAACCCAATGAGGATTTGTGCCTACTTACCTCCAATTCTTTATCACTCAGAGAACCCACGCTGCACAAGCTCTGGTTGGAAGACTCACTATTTAATGGACCCTAGTGAAAAACAAGCAAAGACTGTTAGAAACAACTTCCATACAAGGCAGATATGTCCTATCAAACATTACATCTCTAGGCTAACTACGCTGCTCTAAGTCACATGGATACAGCAGCAACACGGGTCAAATACCCAGACACATGATGGGGCACTAAAAAACTTCAGAAGTCGTTTGGAGCAAGACGGAAGCTGGGCTGCCAGTTGGACAGTCTTTTCTCAGTACAGTGATCCAGCCTTTGCAATGATATTTCTGGAGCAATTTATATCCTAACTGCCCTATTTAAACACATCCACAAAACAGCTAAGGCAGTATTCATAAAAGTCTAAGACAACTGGCTTGAGAAACAAAACTTCTGGTTTGTTGAGTAGCAGTAGTTCCAAGCTCAGCTCTTCAGGCAAGCATCTGCTTGACCCTGGGCTAAGAATTTAGAGGCATCTTCCATCTGGCAAGGCAGCTATTACTGTTATCAGATGCTGGCAGTACCACTGATTTTTCTTCAAATGCGTGGTTTTTATGCTTTTTTTAACACTAAGAAAGTGAACAAGTGAAAGTTGTGTTAACAGCAGTACAACTGGCACCCATAAGACAATCTCTCCCACTAGGCTATTTTATGGACCCATGGCTGACCTGCCAACAGAGCAGTTGCTCCTACCAGGCTAAAGCACAAATTCAAGAGACTGGAATAGATTTACTGAAATAGTATCCAGGTACCTACAAGAGTCTGCCTGCATCTTTGCAGGGTCTACTGGATACACATCTGCATTTTTCCACATCCAAGCATTTTTGAAAATTACTTTCTAAAATGTACATCAAAACTGGTTTTAAAAGGAAAGAAAAGTGAATCATGCAAAGTCACTGTGTTTTAGCCTAGTGCTCTGACACACAAGTATCCTCCCACAGATCTAACTTAAGAAATCTAGACGAATTTGACAAAGATATAAAAACAAGATTCACAATTACCAATGGAACGTATTAACAGGAAGAATGACATGATAAAGCCACCTGTCCATTAATAACTTGTGAGCACCTCTTCCCAAAGATTCATTCTATTTTAGCATTCTTATTTTTGCAGTAACCACTTCCCACCAATCAATCTTTCCTCAAGGCAAAGCCACTTCTCATTATATACTTGAGCAGAAGACTTATGGGAGGGGTGGGGGAGAAGCCTTAACACCACAGAGAAATCCCACGGTAGATTATTTTTGAGGAGAGCAGTTCTCCCTTCCCCATTTATAAGACAAACACCACCATCAAATTAAACTTGTGACACAACTTAGCTATTACTAACCCCAATTTCCAAGCAGGCATCCACAGAAAGTAAAAGTTCTGTTTACCTTCTGTATTACACTGTGAATGTTAACTACTAAATTTGTTTCTCCTAAAAGGACATCCTTAGTTGCTTCAACGTAAAAAAAAACCCACAAAAAACCCAACACTTGAATAGCTCAAGAAGCTACACATTTAGGATTCCCTTTTAAAAGCAAATTACTTTATGAAAATTGCAGATTTACACTCTTGAAGCCATACCATTACCCCTTCAACGCATCACACAAATAGCTCAAGACCAGAAAGATGTTTTACCTCATCTCTTCAGCAATAGTTGCTTTTAGAACAAGGAAGCAAGCTTCCCACCACCCAATGTGACGGCTCACAAATCTTATAGGTACAACTCTTGGTTATTCCAGGGATTTATTCCTTGGCCAACAGGACTTAACAGAAGTGCCAACACTAACCTTAGTGACATCCACATGAAGGCCTCATTGATTAAAAAAATGTAATACCTTACGGCAAGTGGCAACAGAAAGTTAATCTTTTCACCCACGTAAAAAGCTCGTTTATAACCTGCACAAATGCTGTCCTCTAAAATCCTTCACTTCCTCTCATGAACCCAAACCCCAGCAGCACGTCCAAGACATCAACCTTCTGTGTAAGCGTGAAAGCTTTATTAGGTGAAGGAGCATCTCAAGAAATTATCATTTGCTGGTCTCAGATGGACAGGCTGGGGTTCTGACATGATGAAGATGAAAGCAAAAGTTGTTTCCACATTTGCTTAAATCTCGCTGCCTCCATTTTGCACATGGATAGCAAATGACAGGAACAGCTGCTCCCAAAATGCCACATTTGAGCTTTTCAGGAACATTGTGGTTGAAAGGGTATGTCAGTGGCTTATGAAGGGCCAAGGTTTCAGCAATGACCTGTATTCCAGGCTAACCTGGAGAAATAAACTGATGAGGCCGTCTATAGTTAGAAATGATCCTAAGATTTTTTCAGAAATACAAGTCTATCCTCTCCAGTACAAAAATTCCACTCACTTTGCATCCGAATGTAAAGTTCTGGAATGCAAGCAGCTGGAAAAATGCCTAATACAAAATCCACAATGTTTTTCTTACTTCCAGTACCACTACTACCTGTACTGACTATTCTGTGTGGGAAATCTACAGCTCTAGCAGTTGGAATCAAACCCATCCTTTGCATCAACAAAAGAGCAGTTCAGTTCTTATCACAGATTCTTGAAGAGCAAAAAAACCCATTTACCCTTTACTTTAAAACTTCCTCTAGAAACTACACTGACAAAATCGTAAAATTGAACTCAACACAGTAGTAGAAAGGGTGAAAAGGAACTGACTACTTAGTTATGGAACCAGAAAAGAACAGCTTGTCAGATGTCTGTAAGTATCCAGCAAGTTCACTGTCATCTGTATTGATACTGCGAACAAATGCAGAATTAATTCTTTGTAGGCAAGTTTTGACCCATTTCCACTGCATGAGCTTTCCTCTCCCTTGCTGATCTTCTAGAGGGCCTTCCACTGACACTTCTCTTAGAGTAAAGGATTAGGCCTATCTTACGGGCAAGGAGCTGAAGCATCTTGTTCATGTTGAAGTTGGCAAAAAAGTCTTGTTTTGAGGTATTCCGGCTATGGAAACACAAATTGTTCATTAGAACGTACTGTACTCGAAGCAATAAAGATGCAATACCTAGGATGTTTAAGGAACATGGCCGAGTCCTCAGCTGCACCTCTTCTCACGTAGTTACGCAAGAGAAAGAAAAAGCAAGTTTTCCCAATCAACCAGCTAGATATCTAGTTTCACACATAACCTCATGTTATCAACTGCTTATAGCAACAGGTTTAGACAATGGATATGAGAAACTATACATCTGAGCATCTCCCCATCAACTAACAGTCAGTGAGTGTGTGTATAAAAAAACCCTTCAAATTTATGTTTTATCATTCCTGACTGCTTATATTTAACTCAGCAACTGACACTGGATAAATGTTCAGTACTTAATTTAGCATACCATTATAAGTGGTCATGACACAAAAGGAATTAAAGGAACAAACCTGAATTTTGGAAAAAAACAAGTAAGCAATGGCAAAGAATACTAACATCAGAATACTCCTGGGGAAGTGGTAGCAGTGAATAATAAACATGCAATAGTTTACACCGGAAGGGCTTATAAATTTTCTTCCTGAAGAAGTCATTTGCACTGGCATCTGGCTTTTCTAGCACAGACTACTTTGGGATAATACTGCACTTCTCTGGTATCACTTACAGCCCACTCATCCACTGTACCCTGTCAAGAGAATCGGTGATGGGGCTCAGCAAAAATTCAAAATACGTGGGTCATCTGAAATAAGCTAATAGTTTCTACAGTGTTTACCCAAATGACAAGCACAAGAACAGCACACACTTCCTCCTCCGCAAGGAATTTCTTTCTGAGATAAGCTGGCATGCTCTTTTCCCTTGTGATTCACCTATCAACTGCCGCTTCTAAGTCCGTGACCTACCTATGCACAACAAAACCTCCATGCTGAGAAGTGGATGCAACAGTAGCAGGCGCTTTCAAGACTCCTACTCAAAGGCAAGAATTTAAAAATCTGTCCACTCACACGAGCTGGTTAGTCATTTCTCCCTTCGCAAGAGCCCTGGAAAGGCCACAAATGAGGCACAATGGCTGGAGTTTCAATAGAAACAACTTAGCCTGACAATAGCTCCCATTGGATCTTCCATAACAAAGCTAGCCTGACTCAGACTGCCCTTACCTATCTCCTCTTCAAGCCTATCTACTGCTTCGCATGACTTGTGCGTTTCCTCAGCCTCTCCAAGCTCCCAAAAATGATCCCTCAGGCCTGCCTGCAACTCTTCTGTTGGGCAGTCTCCATTTTGTGCTCTCCAACTCCTCATATTGAAAGAGAGCTCTAGGAATTCAAGCTGCCTAGCCAGAGTCTCCAATATGGACTTACAGCAACATGCATTGCAAAATTCTCTTGCTAACTCAATGGCAGAGACGTCCTTCATTGGCTCAAGCTAAGGTAGCCCAAATTCTTCTGAGTTACGTAGCAAATCAAGAGATTTCAAAGGGAAAAAGTCAATCCTTAGTTCCACTAAAAGTTAGTGCTGACTCTGCACAGGCTTACACTAAAGTGAAATGGTTGAATGGTTTTCCAGTTACTCTGGTCCAGTGCTACTGTATGAGCCACGTTTAATTAACATATTCTTATCTTATTTCAAGAATCACATAAATATGAGAATTACAGCCTGCTTCTGAATTATGCTTTTAGAAAAGCTCATTATTATAGCCAATAATGAAATCCCCAAATCACCTATGTCTTTTCGCCATGAGAAGTTAATCTACTATCAGATGTTCACAGGTAACCCCTGCTATATTTGATGGGTAAGCAGATCTGCAACAGGATTTTTTGGCTCCCATTATGCCTCGAGAGTTCTCTCAGGATGAAAAAATAGTATTTTTATTTTACTGATGGCAAACTGGACAGAAGGGTCACGCAACTCACCCTAACCCTCAGTTCAGGGGCAGAAATAGAACTGCGATCTGACAACTATTTCTGGGCTCTAGTAGCCAGACAACACATTTGAAATAAATAATGTTTTGAAATAAGTAATGTTGCACATGGAAGCATCCAAACAATTTTCAAGTGTCTGGCATAAAGTCCTGACACTGTCTGTGCTATCTGATAAATTCAATTCTAAGTTTCAAAACTCTTATTAACTAGATCTGGTAGCATGTGACACCTGTTAAGGACCATTGCTGGGCAGCACTGCTTCCCTCCAAGGAAGACACGATTATTCTCATACATCAATTCTCAACTTTTTAACTTTGCTGCTAGAAATGTTGCTAAGTAGACCACACAACTGGTAGTTACTGAACTGATCAAAACTGCTAGAGTGACAGAGAAAGGGTAAAAACCAAAATAACATGAGTAAATACTGTTCTTTTTTATGAGCAATTCTCTTTCTGGAAGCAGATGTTTTGCAACATAAGTGACACTCTTCGGGTTATTTTAATTTCCCTCTTTAGGATATCTCAAAGAGGGAGAAAAGGGAGCAGCAGCTACCACCAAGACCAATACTTCTTCAACTCTAGCACGGTCATCTGATCTACACGATGCCTACAGCAGGACAGAGAAGGTTACTCTCTAGAAATGCTTCAGCCTTTTTAGTTTAGCTGTAATAAAGTCACACACACAACTTAGTTTGAAGATCTTTTAAAGACCAAACTTGTAGAAGATATGCATGCTGCCGTGATGATCCACCCTGGTTAAACCTGAGACAAGCCATGTGCAAATACAGATTCACCCATCACAATTACCTATTCCAATTCTTATCCAGGAAGAGCCTGTGGAAATGACACAAATCCTTTGGAGTTAACCTGCCTGATATCTTAAAGACAGCGCCCAGACAGGGGGAGGAGAGGCAGAAGACGAGAGCAGACCAAATTAAACAATGTTATCGAGAGAAACAAACTACAATCTGTTTTCTGTACCTACTGACCCAAGGAAGATGTTTGAGATGACTAGTCAGAATAATGCCTCAAGTGAATACGCTTAGATTTCCCCTAGTAAGTAAACATAAACAGGAGCTAAATAAGCAAGAATACTGGTAGGTGTCAGATAGTCATGTGTTAATTCAAGGACTCGCTTTGCAAATTTGGGGAAGAATGGCACTTTACCATATGGCAAGAACAGACATCTAAAGCATCACTGGCTTTTTGAAGCTATCTAGTGACCTGGATGAACCACATGAGTATAACAGTTGCCTAGAAACATTCCTTGCTCGTAGATCTGATTCCATGTATTAACTCCAAGCTTCTAGAGAAATATATTCTCCAGCTACTAAGTGAGATAATTCATCACAGACTTGCAACAGAATTTTGAGGCATTTGGGACTGCAAATGACCTCAGTCATTGGGTTGTGCCTTCAGCTACTACAGGAGGTGACAGCACACAGCTGTTTCCAAAACAGATCAGGATTTTCTGTCCTCTACTACTGTTACTGGAAAGCTCTTCCAGAACCCCATGACTCTGATGGCTGGAAGCTTTTTTCTAGTTTCAAGCCTGAAAACTTATTCTAGCATAGTCTTATTCATTCTCAGAAACACGTATAGTTGTTCTTTACTTGCAAACGTGCAGGGAAAGTGGGCTTTAAAGCTGCAGTTGTATTGAGGATGTAAACTAGTACATTAGTTTTACACGGGTCCAAAATATACCCTGTATTTTTAAACATGAAAGAAACCTAACCAAACACACTAAGCGATACACCAAGTCAGTGGAAGGCAGGAAGCTCAGTTACAACTGCCTGCTGCCTTCACCCAATAGGAGAGCATCTAAGATGACATTTCTTCCTTTTATGCAATAAACAGCAACAGAATACCTTCTATCCCAGGAGGATGTGCCAGTCCCAGTCCCACTAGATGGCACTAACCTACCCTACGTAGCCTTCCTTCAACATTTAATTGGAGAGAGCTAAAAACCTTAGTTGAATCATACAAATTGTATCACAGCTTTCCCAATATATTCCCTTTAAGACAATGACCTACCAATGCCAGTGCGGAGCATGACGGACGGAGACTTGGGGGGGTAGGGAGGGAATTTGAAGCACCAACCTGGGAGGGAATGTAGTATCTGAGATTAATATTGCAACCGAGATTTGCTGCAACATAGTAGAGTCATGCTAATTTCATATCAACGGTTGGCTGAGCTATTGCAAATTAGCAAGTATGCAAGGAAATAAATATATATCTTGTTTGAAATAAGTGTAATGCACTTCAACAGTTTACTGACTAATACAAAGTAAAACACTATACTGCATAACAACAGGTAAAAATAAAACTCAGTAACTAACAGAAGAGCTTTGCTCAAAGTGAAGCCTCCAAGAAGTGAGGCTTTTTTACTTGGATATGCTTTAGAAACAAAAATGAGTTTTCAATATTCACCCTACAGAGAAAGGGCATGTACTTTCTGCTCCAAACATATTGAAAACATAATTAAGACTTGCTTTCCGGTATCTTTTAAAGGTTATTCCTTTAAAAGGAATAGTTCCTAACATTCTTTGTGAGCACAGAGTATGTTGGCGCTGTTTTAAAGCAACAATAGTGTCTATGCTTCTAAGTCTTCGCTATTCTAGAAAGTTGTTTGGCTTTATCTATACTGGTACAGCTAAAGATGTTAAAGTGACATACGTGGGGAAAGAGGTAAGAAATGGATGAAAAAGTAGATAAATTAAAGTTGTACTATTGTATAAAACAAGTCTTTCAAGATCGTAAATACATTATGTAGCATAAACTTTTATGCCAGTAAAAGCCTCAAGGTTAAAAAAAAAAAAGTCTTAAGAGTGGGGAAAAGATAAAAAACCCCCACACTGTTGCTTCAGTAACTGAAATTGTTACCCTTCAACAACTTCTGGTGTTAATCTTCCTTACTACCTTGCAGCTGAACATTTTACTTACGCTCCCTTCCAAGACTTAACCGTGTTTGAGTCCTGATTGAAGTACAGATCAGAAAGAAAAGTATGAACTCAAATGAAACCCTTTTTCAAGTTCCGATTTGCTTCGAATTTTTCTAAGAAATACAGCATCTACAAGGTTTCTTCCCTAAATAATTCTAAGAGGTTTCTGAAAATTATCTAGCAATGCTATGTTGTTTTACCATCTACCTTGATGTTGTCCAAAACTCAGAATCTTCCTCAAAAGTAAACTCCTTATCACTGACCTAGTTTAAGATGAGTTCTGCCACCATTTCATTGCTCAGAGAGACTATCAATCAACACTACCAACAACATCTGGAGAACCAAGAGTTTAACGCTAGTATATCAAGCAACCACACAAAGTTATTATTTAAGTGCCTTACTCAAGAAAGGCAGCTACTGAACAGTTACGAAGTTGTACGTGAGGACAAAGATGGGATTTTACTAGCAGGTTGTGGACCACAGATACAGGAGAGCTTACCTTCAAATACTTTTTGTGTGTGTTCTATGCGACCGAGTACACAATTTTAGCACGCTGCCCCCACGAAGAACTGAACAAATTCCTGAATATATTAAGTCTGGTTACATGTTGTATCGAACACAGTAAACTTGAAACTGTATCTAACAAGTGGCCAAATTCAGTTCTCAAATGCATACTTGGAGAAAGGAAGAGACAGGTGAGATTCCCACTTCCAAAGACAAAGTTGTCAAGGGTTTTTTTTGGGCATACAAGCTGCCTTAAGATGGAGCAACTCCTAAGAACTTAATCAGAACCCAAAATCTTCTATATAGCAAAACATCTGCTCATAGAGATCCCATTTTCATTCCTCTTAAACATACTTCAAGCAAATTAGCGGTCAAAACACAACTATTGATACAAAACATTCTGCTAGCAAAGCAAAATTATCAATTTAGAAATTAAAAAAACAAAGTGCAGCACAGGATGGATAAGCAGTCATGCCTTTTACCAAAGGTACTTACACTCACCTTAGCAACCCCGACTCCAGTGAACCTGGCCTCCAGTAGTTCCTGCCTTCGTGGGTCCAGGCTATGCAATTCTTCCATCATTTCTGCTGCTATGGGAGAACAACACACAGATTATGCAATGCAAAGAAAGGAGAGAGATTTAATATTCCGTGCCACTGACGAGACTCAGAAGTGCCTGTTCTGCAGCATAACCATGTAGAAAGCATTTTCTTGCAAGAGAAATGCAAGATTACCATGCAATAATAACATGACTTTGCCACCATATTACTGTATTTAAACCATAACCCTGCTGGAAAGTTTCCTCTTCAATCTGTTGTACCAGCCATTTCAAGATCTCTAAATCCAAGAAACCAATTATGTCACATTCTCCCACTGGATGCTTTATTAAAAGGAAAACATGGGACCGGAGTGTTATGACTAAAAGCTTCAGAGCTTTTCATCTGTGCTGCATGACTAGGAGAAAAAAAAGCAACATTCTTTACCCCATAATTTATTTTTGGCCAATCCTGGAAATACTAGATCTCTCCGAACTCCAGATTTCACTGACAACAGCTTTGGTTCTTTCAAGCACAGAAAGGGATTATAAGAAGAAAATAACGCTCGTTTAAACCTTTTTCTTTATAGAGCAAAGCATCAGATACCTTCAGCGTAACAGCTGCTTCTATATACTGGATGTACCTGGGGTACCTCTTGGCAATCCAACACAACAGATGCCATTATTTGAAGGGTTAAAAAAAAACCCCACAAACAAACACAGCACAGTTGTGTAAACAGGTTTAAAAATCAGGAAATATACAATTCGAATACTGAACTGTGAAAAAATGGGACAAATTTCAATGTTCATTATAACTGTGAATCACATCTTCCCAACTGCACCAATCAAGTTCATTTCCAGAAATGTCTGTTCCAGTTTCATTTTCTGGACTAAGGTAGAAAAAAAAGAGACAGAAGATAAAGATTTGCTGTGTAAAGAGCATATGTGATGAGGAAAGTTCTTGAAGGGCAGCAAGTGCCCTCTAGAATAGGCAGTATACAATTGTTCCTTTTATTAACTGTCCATTTTGTCCCTGCCGTTTCCTCCAAACGCTGCAGATCTAAGTTACAGGGGGGCAAAGTGAATCCATCCGGGGGCATTTACAACTGCTCTCCAAATCAGTAACAAGCCTCAAAAAGTAATGGGATACTAAATGCGGTTTTTAGAGAACCCTATTTCTACTGTGGGCTTTAAAACCCCAACAAAGCTATCAGCCTAGTTTTCAAAACAGGAAATCTGTGCACCAAAGAAAATGACAGCCCAGCCATGAACGCAGAGATGTTAAAGTACTCCCAGGGCTCTCCCCCATTACGGGGCACAGGGCGACCATCCGGGAGGGAATCGCATCCCCACCCCGGGATTCTGGTCCGGGGAAGGGACTGCCACAAGTTCCAGAGCCCTTCCCCACCACCACCGCAGGGCCGAGCTCCCTCCCGGGGCCTGGGGACTTGCCCTGGACCCCCCCCCCACCCCCCCCCTCCCCCTCCCCCCCCCCGCGCA